TATTTATAGTGTGTTAAGTTTATTTCCTACTGAGCGTCATTGCTCACCCGCATTTTATGGGCTGGATATTCCCAAATCCCAGGTGATCAAGGTGTCACTCGTTCATTAAGAAGTATATGGAGTTCTATATAGAGCACTAAAACTTTTTTGATGTATCATGTTTTAGTTACGAGCTTACCTGCGGAGATAGAATTTTATTTTCTTTGTGATCAAGGCCCTTAACCTTGAAATGTGTAAGCCTCTAAGGCAATTTGATATTTGTTTTTGTTTTTTTATATAGCTTAGGGTACTGTAATTTGTTGTAGTATGATATGACTAGTTTGCGAGAAATATATGGGTTTTTTTATTTATAATTCGTTATCTTTATTTATCCAGAATTGATTAAGGTTATGGAATTAAATAATAATAATGGATTGGTAACTAATAAGATGAGGTTAATTTTCGAGGTGTGACAATTTGGTATCAGAGCTCACCGGGTTTGAATACCCTGGGCTTGTAGGAAATGGCGTTTGTTACAATGGGTTACTAGACTAGAATGGGACATTTACATGCTTGGTATGACTTGGTGTACTTATGTGGTTATGTGGGTATGGGATTAAACTCTTGAGATGAAGTTTGTGCCTATGAATTCTTAGTAGTCTTGCTAGGAGGGCACCTGATCAATGCCATTCTAACTTGAATTCTTTGAATGTTGTAGGGCAAATTGGCATCTTAGGAGAATAATTCGTATGTGCTTTATGTGAATACATGTTTATGTGGTTTGTCATTGTGAGAATTGTTATGTGTATAGACATGTGTAGACATTTCGAGTAGAGTGTGGGGTTTCATTCGGGTTAATTTGTGAGCTAAGTTTATTCTTATTCTTATATAGGATGTCTGGACGTAGTGATAGAAGCTATGGTAGACCTCGTCTTGGTGGTCGGGTGTTTCCATTCTGGGGGAAGGAGCATGCCAAACTAGCATCGCCGAACAAGAGGGACAGGGAGTTGTGGGCTTGTTGGCTCAGGAGTTGACGGGTGCACTTCGGGAATATATAAACATTTTGAGGGCTAAGGACGCAGCACGAGCTACCGTGGGAAAGACTAGGGTCTCTTCCTTGGCTAAGGAGTTCTTTAAATCTAAACCTATGGAGTTTTATAGCGATGCTAACCCACTTCTAGCAGATGAGTGGCTTGAACAAATAGTAACGACATTTGAGGTGTTTCACATAGTAGATGATGAGCTTCGGGCCACGTTAGGGGCTTTTCAATTGAAAGGTGACACAGGTCAATGATGGAAATATGCAGAAGACCATATAGGGCACACATGAAAGGCATTCACTCATGCCTTCCAAGAGACATATCTTCCATCCACAGCCAAAGAGCGTTTAAGGAAATAGATTGAAGAGTTTCAACAGCTTGACACAACCGTAGCAGAGTTTGAGGCAACTTTTACTAGCTTATCTAGGTTTGCACCAGAGTTAGTGGTGACCAAGGAGCGTCGTTGTTTGGAATTTGAGAAGAGACTTAGGTAAGTAATGAAGATAAAGATGGCTGCTAGTATGATCCAGAATTATGATAGACTCGTCAAAACAACTGCACATGTGTAGAAATCACATTGGAAGAGGGGAAGAAACAGAGGGGTAAGAGACAAGGGGGGACACGAGTCACACACTGACTCAGGGACATCCAAGAATTCTAGGGGTAGCACTAGCACACCTTCGTAATCATAGTGGATCGAGCCTCAGGGCTTTTGTAATGGCCGTGAGTTTAAGGAGTACCAGTCAAAATAAGATGACTTGTTTTCGATGTGGTCAGTAGGGTCACAAAGCTTCAACTTGCCAATAGAAAGATGGAAGACAACTTCCATAGCAGTCGACTCATTCTGAAAGCCAGTCTAGAGGTAGTAGTTAGGCATCCACCTATTATTAGTGCGGACAATTAGGGCACGTGAACATAATTTGCCCGTAGTTGGTAGGAGTCCCTAGTGTTTTGAGATCCTAGTAGCCACACGACCTTCCATCGGATTCAAATCAAGAACAACTCCCCCAGTCGGTCCAGTTACAAGATAGGAGACCACCTGTTTGTTTTAAGTGCAATCAACTGGGCCATGTTAAGCACCACTACCCTCAGAGTGGGCGAGATCAATTAGGTAGTTGAACAAGGACAGTGAGGTTATAAGGGAGTAGCATGCTATTTTGTTGTTTTGATATTGTAATGCTATGGTAATATTGGTGAAAAATTGTAATTACAAATGTTGCGCATGTATAATTAAGTGTGTGTTTTTCCAAGGGAATTGGATTGTAATGAATTGTAAATTCTGTATGTTTTGATGAATTCTTGTTAAAATGGGTAATCTTAGTACTGCAGGAATATGCTATTATCTCATAAAGTTATTTTACTCTAAGTGTGTATGGTTAGGAGTAATGTAACCAATAGAGTTATAGAGTGGGAGAGAGTTCTTGATGTAATGTTGGGGGAATTCTTTGAGAACATTGTGAGAATTATGTTGCTTGAGGAAGAATGTGGTCTTACGTGTTCAGGTCGCATGGTTAGTTAGGTTGTTGTTAAATCTATCGATTCCTTGATGTTAGGAAGAGGAGTTTGAATTACCATACAAGTATGTAGTGTAAAGTCGGTGGTGTGAATCACACTTTTCGTAAATGTTGGTTTCTCATTGACCTTTTGTGAAATCCTTAGTGATGGGACGATTTCCTTTGAAGTTAGGGTATTTGTGTATGATGATCTGAGAGGTGAGTGGTATGCCTTAACCTGTAGAAGTCCAATTTGGACTCAGGAGTGATGAAAATGATGTGTTGGCCATATAGGCACATGGGTGGTGGTCTATTTAGAAACATTAGTGGTAATCCGGTATGAGTTTGAGAAATGTGTGGAATGGTATGTGTGTAACTCCTTATACGAGTGAACAGTGTTGGGTAACACGTTGACATTTAGTGATGTATATAGGATTTTATGGAGTTGGTTAATCGGTGGGTTGATATCAGAATCTCTTTGACAAGTAGTCACGTTAAGAATGGTTGGGCTCGAGTAAGTGGGTCGTATTAGTGGGTGCCTTAGTGTGGTTTAGTGAGTGTGGAGTCTCGTGTATGTGGTTGTGAAACTAGTGTAAAAATTGTCTTGGGTTAACGGAACTCCTTAGGTTGGAGTAACGTGTTGTCGACACATTGTCTTGTCATGTGCATTATGCCTTGTAAAAAATAAATAAATATAATCATGTTTATGATGGAAAGAAATTACAGAATCATAAATTTTCTTGTGCTTTACTTGTGTTGGTAGCATGGTTGTTATTCCTATTAATTATTATTATAAAAATGTGGAGTATATGTTGTTGTTGCATCATTGACAGAGTGATGGGTGTTGTTGGGTAACGGTAGAGGATCACAGGGTGTTATGTGAAAAAGGAAGTGGAAATGAATTTTTTTTAATTTTATTTTTATTGTGGATGGTGTGAGTTTGAGTACCTTTTGAGAAATATTTTAAATACAAGGGATTGACATTCAAAGAATTGAGAAAAAGAGAAAACTTTCTTTTAATAAGGAATTATGTTGTTAATTGTTTTACTTGGAATGAAGGGGTTGAGTAGCAACTTTGTTTGAATCGTTAGTCATAGGTTTGTTTCGTTGGCTTGTGGAGTGTTTTGGGATGGTTGGGGTTTGTTATGCCGGAGTGTTGTTTTGACCATATTTTTCCATGAGTCATCTTCTTTGGTGAGAGTTGAACAAAGGTTCTGTTGTGATGGCTTTCTTCTATGGTCGAGTGTTGAACACTCGATGGTGTTGTGCGTGTTGTTGGTGGTTAAAGTGCTATGACTGTTCTTGGGGTGCGAGTTATTGTTGTTCAGGAGTCTTTGGGGCCCCAAGATGTTACACTGGAATCTGGAGACTTACTCCAACTCTAGATCAGATTTAGTTTGTGGTTGAGTTATCTTTGAGTAAGCTCTTTCTTTAATTTCACACGACAACAAAAATGGCCTTTGGTGACATACTGATTTTATCTCCAAACATCAAATTTTCGTCACCAGAGTGATCTGTGACGAAAAAATTTTGTCACCACGTTCGTCGTCTATTTGTCATCGTAGAAAGTACCTAGTGATGAAAAATTGTTTCGTCGCCTATTCTTTATTTTTGGAGACAAAATTTTTCGTCTCTAAGTGTTGAATTTTTCGTCCTCTATAACATCCATTTTGTCACTACAATTAACTAATATTTTATTTTTAATTGTTTTGGCGACAAAATATTTCGTCAGAAAATATTAAGATAAAAGGTTTTCGTGATGAAATTTATCCTCACCAATGATATAGATTAAGGTGACGAAAACAATTTTGTCGCCAAATATTTCAAGTCGGTGATGAAATATTTAGCAAATGTGACGAAATTATTTGTTGGAACTATATCAAGAAAAGTTGTTTGAAAACTAATAGCGACAATTTTTAATTTCATCGCTAATAATAATTAACATTTTTAAAAATGGGAATATTATTTTAAATTTTCAATTTTTTTTCCCACTAAAAATTCCCTGCACATTTTAATAACATGTTTAATAAAATATCTATTATAGATCAATACAAAAACTTTGTTCATTTTCATAAATAACACAATTAAAATATGTATCATAATATCCACAAAAATAAAATATCAATTGCGGATTACAAAACACGTCTCCTAATATCCACAGAAAACACGTCTCCTAATATCCAAAAAAATATAATATCAAGTGCAGATTACCAAACATGTCACCTAATATATACAAAAATATAAACTTTACAACGCAACTAAAATACATGTAAGTTAATATTAACAAAAACACAAAATGAGCAAGCTCTTGCCCTCCAAATTACCAAACACGTCCATCTCTAATCTCCAATCTACAACAAAACAAAACAACAACAACTAAAAAAAAAAACCAAAAGAAAAAGAAAAAGAAAAAAAAAAGAGGAAGACAATTACTATCTTCTCAATAAAATATACAATTCAACATTTTTTGAAAATAATTCAAACCGGGAGTCCTGTGATAGTTCAAACCATTTACGCAACTTACATTGGTCCCTCCTGAGGTGTTCAGGGTGTTTCTCGAGCCTTCTCGTGGCTGTTTCACGATTTTCGCCCCTGGTGGCCTATTTCAAGCCTAAATATTGGGAAAAGTGCATTTTTTGACTTAGTTTTCAAATCTGGAGTCCCGTGCTAGTTCCGTAAGTTTTTACAACTTACGTTGGTCCCTCCCGAGGTGTTCAGGGTGTTCTTCAAGCCTTCTTGTGGTTGTTTTACGATTTTGGCCCCTCGATGGCCTATTCTCAAGCCTAAGTGTTAAAAAAGTATATTTTTCTACTTAGTTTTCAAACTGGGAGTCCCGTGCTAGTTCCGTAAGTTTCCATAACTTATATTGGTTACTATAAGTTTGGAATATAATGGTAAATTTTTTAGAGTCTCGTGCTTGCTCTATAAGCTTTCACAATTTACATTGGCTCCTCTAGAGGTGTTCATGATGTTTCCTGAGCCTTTTCGTGCCAATTTGAAGCTTTCCTCCCCCCACCTCCCCAAGACTTATTTTCGTGCCTAAGCATTGGAATAGTGCAAATTTCAAAGTAGTTTTCAAATCGAAAGCCACGTGCCTGTTCTGTAAGTTTGCACAACTTATGTTGCTCCGTCTCAAGGTGTTTGTGATGTTTTTCGGGCTTTTTCATGCATATTTTACTATTTTTCAAGGACCTTTTGTGCCTAAATGTCAAAGTAGTTTTTTATTCTACCCTAGTTGAAGAAGAAAGTTTATACTAAATTAACATAGAAACATAATATACTAACCAAGAAGCTTGTCCATCAGACTCTGAACTTTCCCCAGTCTCAAAATTTCCCGTGATACCTTTCCACCTCAAACACTCTATGGTACTTTGTATCTTCTTGCTTTGTTTTTTCTCTAACTTTTGGCACTTTGCAATTTGTTTAATTTGTTCAAAATGTAAACTAGATTAAGCAAAATATGAATTGATATATGTGACATTATTGACATAGGAGACCAACCGAAAAATAAATTGAAAAAGTTAACATCCAGCACTATTAGATACTTGAGAGAATGTTGATGACACTTATAATGAGTTTTGTGAAAGTTCAGGAAGAACCTTGATGATTGAGGTTTCCCTTCATTTCAAGCAAATCACTCTACACAAAAATAATTGCCAAAAGTAAAACAAATGATAATGCAAAAATTAACAGCAAGTTTACTTAACCATGACTTAATCTCTATATGTGTGTGTGTTTTCTTTTCTTTTTTTTTTCTTTTTTTTTTTTGTGATGGGGGGCCGTTGGGGAATCATATTCAGTTTACCTGATTGTCCATACTTAGGAATGTGGCATTTTCCATAATTTTCAAACATTTAAAAGCAGCACCAAACTTTCTAGATCCCCATTGTCATTTGACTTCTACATTGAAAAGGAACTTTGTTCTAACCAACTCTACGAAACCAGTCAGCAACCAAAAAAGTATAAATCCCATCTAATAAAGCCAGCATTTGAATCATGGTGTATTTGTTTGTTAGTAGATTCATGCATAATCATGGAAAACATATATTAGAAACAAGATTCAACTATAGATAAGACTATGGCTCAAAAAGGGTACATAGCTAACTCTTTTCATAAGTTATTGAAGAATGAACTTGAAAAGAACAAATATTTGTGTGAGAGCAAACAAATAATTTAGCACTCATACGCCTTAAGCACGTGATGCGGGTTTATATGCAGTTATACAGTGACAATATTTGTGTGAGAGCAAACAAATAATGCGTTTGATACTTGTGAAGGCATTATTCCAACTCACCAAATCAAGTGACAATACACCATGAGCACATAACAGTATTCCTCAATATCAAGTTTCCATTGTCCACCTAGAATTGTTTCCCATGTAATAGCTATGATGTAGGACGCACTCAAATGATTCAAGCCCTGACAACAACCTTAAACAAAACAAGGTTTTTTGCTTAAGGTTCAATTAAAACCTAGTGTAAAATCACCACAAGTCACACTATTAACACGACTGAAAACAGATTAAGATAGGCACTTTTGCCAGCATTCCATATCCAAACAGTGGAACCCTCCGAACCAGCCAACGCCAAATGTCCTTTTGGATGCCACATGACCCACTATGTAGGCAGATAGTTCATACTCAATCTTTATATATGCTATAAATCCCTTAAGTGTGTTTGATCTGATTCTTTGGGGAAGGGGTGGCAAATCCATGCTCCATTAGTTCCTTATAACTCCTATCCTCCTTTATTCCCCTGTAACTTGTGGGAATCTCACCAGAACAACATACTTCTTTTGCAAATGAGGTGACAAACATGCAACCCTAGTTCCAATTCTTCAGTCTATATTATGTACATACATTTTCACCTCTCCCAGTCCCTCATTCTCATCTGTGAGCTATTGAACTAAGAGGAGTAGAGAGTTTGAGACTTTAAAAAAAAAAGAAAAGAAAAGAAGAGAGAGAGAGAGAGAGAGAGAGAAAGAGAGAGTAAGGAAGTAGAACTTAAAAGCTAGCTTCAAGGTAAATTACACACCCTTCTTCTCTTCTCCAATCCTGCTTACTCTTCTTAATCTACCTCCTATCATGTCCTGTGTCTATACGAAATGTTGGTATGCTTGGAAATGGGGTGTAAGTTCAGGTGTTAGTATGAATAAGTGATGCTACCTTGTATTTTCTGCTGATTTCATGATTACTGCAACTTTATCACTCTTGGAAAAAATATCAAACTTACTTCTTTTTCAAAACTGAATGTAAGGGATGATCTTTAAGGTGTTTAGAGCATGTGACATTTTTGGTTGCCCCTAATTAGACATTTTTATAGTCTAAACAATTTTCTTAAACAATCTAGCCCTGTGTTTCGAGAAAACAGTCCACTTCATGTATTTAAAAAAAAACAAATCTAGAAAAATCATCTTAGGTTGGTTCTTATGTCAAAACTTAGCATTTGTAGTACTCTTTCCAACAAAAAACGTTATTGGGTAGATTGAGAGAAATGCTCATTATCCTAAAAGTGTGTCAAATCTAGACAGAATATGGTGTATGGCCTATAAATAAAAATTATGGTTAGGTTATGCAAAATTTGAAATTGGAAATGAAAGTAAACTTACTGTTCTATGTTTCTGTTAATTTTCAGAACCTAAAAAGGTCCCAAAGTATTTTTACCGACCCAACCTTTGGCTCCTACTAATCTAAAATTTGCTGAAAATGTGTTACTTTTTGTGTCAAGTGTTCCTGAGTGCTCAAATGCATGCCAAATGTGGTTTACTTGCTTTACCATGCTTGTATGTATTAATGTGTTATATTTCATCCCATATACTTGCCTCACATTCATGTATATTATTTGATTCGATTCTAGCTATATCAACCAGGACAATTACCTTCATATCACAAAAAGCCATAACATTGGAATGGTGAGAACGCATTGGACCACCTTAAGAAACTCAAATCATAAGTAGATGAATTACTCTAATCAATATTACAAGAATCATACAACATACAGTACATATGGGAAATTCTAGTTTCTATTTCTCTCATGACTATGGAACAAAAATACAAAAAGATACTTATATATGTGTCTGCATATGTAATCCTTTTTTGTAAAACCTTTAAACACCCAACACTCACTTATGAACAACCAAATAACATCCACTATTACACTTTCTATAGTGAAGTACCCATTAGAACTGTCAAAGAGAACACCTATACCACCTGTGTATCATGTTATCAAATTCCACCAACACAACTTGTATGACACCAATAAATATTAATAAAAACCCAACCAAACACCATACTACATCACTCACGCCAATCCCCAATCAATACAAATGTGAGCATAGATTAAAATAAATCAACTAAACAAGGAAGGGAAATGTTGAAATGCATACACAAGGTAGTGATTCCACTCCAAACTCAAATGGTGTGATGACTCGCATTTCTGCAATCCACTCGAAACATTCAGGTTTGCTGTAATCAATCAGAAAAATACTTCAAATCTCTATCAATACATTTATTCCTTAGCATAAGAGATCAAGACTCTGCATAGAAAAAAACCCCTAAATCTAGAACAAAAATCAAAACACATTTACTCATTTCATATAAATCAAGATTCTACTTCATTAAAAAACAAAATAAAAACCCTAGAGCTAGAGTGAAATGGGGAAATAGAGAGAGAGAGAGAGAGAGAGAGAGAGAGAGACCTAAATCAACATCGATGGAAGGCGAGACCATGTACCGACCGTGGCGATGAGACGGTGAGACATAGTGACGGAAGGTGATCACCGTCGATGAGAGGGACAATGAGCGATGGGCAATGGTCAGTTGATAAGAGGGAGAGCAATTGGGGATATGAGAAGGAGAGCAAACGATGGTCTATTTGTTGTTTGGTTTGTTCTTTGTGTATGTATCATATATACAACGAATAAATCTAAAAAAGATATAATGAAACTTAATTGAAAATTTATATAAAAAATGAATATAATCATATATTAATTACAAAGTGTGATTAAAAAATATAAATAATCATACTTAATTGAAAAGTGATATAAAAAATAAATATTATTACATTCAATCAAATCAAGTGTGATTAAAATATTAATCTAATTTTTTTTATCACACTTCCAATAAAAGTGAGATATTTTCATTTGTCAAAGTGTGATCTTTAACTATTTTTGTAGTAGTGGATAAAGCCAGAAATAAGATATTTATCAAATAATAGATAGACAAAAATCACCACATGTCGAAGAATTTTTGTAAAATTCATTCCATTAGGAGATGTACAAGAATTTCTTTACATAAGCCTCCCTTTAAGCTTACAAGATCTAAAACTTGACTAAAATTAACAAGTAAGCCTTCAAAAAAACCCAAAATTGGCAGCCCATTCTACACCCCAAATTAGAACACTACACCATCAGCAACTATCACTAACTAATTTCTACACAGCAACTAACATTTATGGAAAACATTAGGGTTAGAAATTGGGGACAACCAGAGAGAGAGAGAGAGAGAGAGAGAGACAGTAACCAAGTTAGGGTTAGAGAAAAACCAAGTGAGAAAGACGCAGACAGCGAAGCATCCAACAAATTAGGGTTCAAATTGGGGAAAACGAGTTATGAAAGTGAGAGACGAGAATGGGGATAGCGAGATAGATAAGAGGGGAGACGGAGGTTGGAAAAGTGAGAAGAAGGGAGAGGGAGCTTGGAAAAGTGAGAAGAGAGGAGAGGGAGCTTGGAAAAGCGAGAAAAGGGCAGGAGAGAGAATGAGGTAAAAACAGGGAGAGAGAGAGAGAGAGAGAGAGAGAGAGTGCAACACCCCAATTTTTATACCCAAATGATAATATGATAACCATGGTTTTTTAAACTAAAACTGAAAATAAATCCCAACACTTGCATTACATGATACAAATAGTCTTCAGACGATAATACATTCACTTCAAATCAAAATAACATAAACAAATAGATAGCCCCAAGGGTTTACAAGTTTCCAAGGCTTAGCCCTAGTTGCACAAAATGGTTATTCAAACCCACACAAATACAACCATTGGCGTACAAACAGAGTTACAGCAAAATGAGAGCCTTGTACTCTCAACACATTTTTCCTCGCCTTCAGTTAGGCGGAATCACCACATCTTTTCCTGCACAAAAATCTCGTAGGTTGAGCATAAAGCCTAGTACGAAATTCTTAACAAAGTATATACATTTTATACAAGTCTCAAGAGATGAATGCATATGCCATGCTATGCCTTTTTGCAAATAAATCATATCTTCATCTTTTGAAAACCATCATGCTCAATGATTCCATGAAATGTCCATTGTTCAAAACTTAACAATTTAATTCAACTTTTCAAATATCATCCATACCACCTATAGACCACCCGAAACTCCGCTCTGCGCGCGAGGGCGCGAATCGTTGTTCTTAGCTACTACAGTTCGGACTCCTGTCACGGTTCTGAATCTAATCTCACAAAGTGCAATGTAAGACTGATAAATCACCAAAGAGTCCAAATTTGGCAAATCGTTTTGGAAAATCGATTTTAATCAAAAGCGCCAAAACATGGACTGCTTTGCCAGATTTCAGAGTCGCCACCTAAATGTTTTGTTTTTGGGAAATTTAGGAAACCCAGACTCGTGCCTAAGGCCACGTGTCCGTCATCACCAAAGTTGCCTCGGTTCGGGAACTTGGGTACGAGAGGGGAAGGTCCTGAAATGAGCACCCCAACACGCACAATCAAAAGATCGGCATCTACTAACATGATATGTTGTTTTTGAAAACACATGCGTTCTTATTCCGGTTATTAATCTGACTTACTATGTGATGCGCACAACATACAAGTATAGACTAGATCACTCAAATTGGAACAAAACATCTCATGTTTGTCTTTCGAAAATGGTTTGAAAGTGCTACTCGCAAGTAGGCTAAGTCGCGGATTTGCCACCCTCAAGTGGGCTTAGAAAAACATGATTTGCCACTCTCAAGTGGGCTTAAAACTCGCATTTTGATGAATTGTTCCAATTCAAGTAATGAAGCCTTCATCCACAGGCATTCATGCAGTTAATCAATTAAGCAGTTAGCCTTATGACAAGCATGCTAACATGGCAACATACACATCTCATCCAGTATGCTAAAGCGTAAAAGCTTACCTAGTACTCCGAGCCAAAAAAGAAGCTAGTTAGTAATCAATGCATGATCCTAGCTATGTTAAGATGCCTAGTGCAACACATGTAAAAATGCAACTAAGATAGGCTCAGCTATTCTATGATGTCATGTGAATGCAACTTGATAACATGTATTCAAATTGGTATTGAAATACAATGCAATTTGTATGATGCACCGAGCCCGGTGCATGCAAAACAAATGAATGATGCACACATGCGAAGCATAAGGATGCTAATTGAAAATAACCCTAGACTAACCATTGAAAGCGGTTAAGTAAAAGAGAGAAAGACGTGGGGTTGGAAGGCATGCATCACACACACGTACGCTTATTACAATATTTGCCCTCTTGACGAATGGTCCGAATGAATACACTAAGCTTATCTAACTAATCTAATAATGTAATTAGACTAATTATTACACAACCAAATTGAATGTCTAGCTAACACTAAGCTAATTATTACAAAACTTGAACTAATTAACAAATGGATTAATTAAATTACAAATTCATGCTAAGCATTAAAATATGTAAACTAGGCCGCCTCAGCTCTGCCTTGAAGAAGTTGAAGATGCATGCTCGATTCCCGTCCCAAAAGCTCTCCAAATGCTCCTTAGAGGCTCTATCTGCAGGGTGTCCTTGAGAACTAGCTGCTGGATCTCACCAAAACAGTGCTGAGGAGTGCACAAGTGGCATGCCGGCCATGAGAGGTGGCTGCCGACCGCCCTGCCGACCAAGAGTGTACACTGCCGGCCATAAATGAAGATCTGCCGGCCAACAATAAGAGGGTGCCGGCCACTGGTGTGCTGTGACACCAAGCTGCAGCAGAGCACAAAATAAAGAAAATACAAGGTCTCCCAAGGGTGTGTACGCACTATGCCACTCCATATCACTTCAAAACATCAATGGAATGGGCATCATTGGATCCAAGACCATCAATCACACATCTCGATGCATGATGGCCAAAGATCCGACATGTGCAAATTCAATAAATGCATGACAAACAAGACACCAAGACCATCTCCTTATCATGAGAAATCAAAGGCATTGGAGACCAAGGGAGATTGGCTCATTCATCACTTCAAGTATGAAATGAGCTAATCCACCTTGTGTTCAAACACAACACCGGGTTGAACACAATGCAATGCACACAAACAACATGACATGCAAAACTCTCATGCTAATCTTGACATGTTAAGATGGCATGCAAGACTCTAACATGCAAGTATTCATGCACAACATGTTAAGGGGCCAAGAACCCCAAGGCTAGTGAAGAGGATAACACTATAAGCATGAATCACAATGCTCAAATATCCAAACCAGCTCGACATATAGTTACATCATACCCAAAACAGTGGCAAAACATGCTGAAATCGAGACTCAAAGGACTAGACAAACATGCATACATGTTAGTACAAGATTAAGGCACAAGACACAACTCTCCAAAAGCATTGAAAGAGTGAAACATAGAGTACAATGGCATATGTTCCAGCACTGAAATGTCATTCTAAATGACTTAAAATCATGTAAACAACCCATGTGATGCATGTTCCAAGGCTTAAGGATCGAAGCTAGTGAAGTGTATTACACTAGAGCCATGCAAGACAATGCTCAAACGGCCAAATCAGCCCCAAACAGACCTTATGCGGGCCAAAACAGTAGCCAAAATGGACTGAGATGATAGCTTGAAAGGCAAGAAAATGAGGCTCATGCAATGACTCACAAACAAGGCATAAAGGTACAACTCTCAAGAGCACTTAAAGAGTGAAAAATATGGAAGTGTAACAACACTATATGCTCTGAAATTATATATCAAATGATGCTATATCACACAAATGTCACAAATAAGGCATGCTAAGGGTCTCAAAACACAAGACTTGCAAAGCCATTTCCACTATAGCCCTACAAGGCAAGCCATACATGACCAAGACCACTTAAAACAGACCTCAAGCATGTTAAATCAGTGGCAAAAATGTGCCGGAGCAAAGCTAACACATGCTAGAATGATGAACAAAAGCATGAAGCATGTTAGGCCAACAAGCGCGATTGCACTACAAGTACCAAAAGCATGCAAGAGGTGACCAAATCAGCTAAAAACAGAGTTATGGCATGGCAAATAATGGCTAAAAACACACTTGAACTAGGCAAATTCAAGGCACAAAGACATGCTACTTTGCAAGGCTAGAAGTAGGATTACACTACAAGTATAAGAAGCATGCAAGAGGTGACCAAACCAGCCCAAAATAGAGTTATGGAAGGTCTAAAAAGTCACAAAAAAGTGCTTAAAAAAAGCCATAAAGAAGTAAAAACACATGCTCAATTGGTTTGCCATTAACACAAGCAAGCAAGACAAGAGGAGAGGGGACCA